CGGGGTGACCTTATAATTATGAAACGGTGCAAAAACCGATAAACTGTTCTGAAAAAGTTCAGGAAAATGCAGCTGCGGCTAGAAAACGGATACCTAGGTTATTCGTGCTGGGAAATCCGTTCATGATGCTAGAAAAAATCCTTAATGATTGCTTTTCTTGAAAGTGCAAAACTTGAGGGTGACCAATGCTTTACCAACTCTGGATGGGTAGAAAGCTTGGTCATCTCGTCCAGTATCGGTTCGAGCTGTGACACCGTAACCTGTGTAGTATGCTCCATTTGGTAATATCTTACCTCTGCCTATGTGAACATATATAGATAAACTAAAGTCTACTTCAATTTGTCAACATTGTCAACAATTACTTGTACATTTTATCACCAGAGCTTTTTTGACAAATACTACGGTAGCCTTACCCTGGCATCGAATGCAAAGCCGACATTGGCGAAGAAAACCGATTTGTTTGAGACATCACCGGTAGAGTTGACGCAAACTGAAAGTAATTCTTACGTGTTTTGGTATAACAATCGAAAATTAAAAAGTAAAAACGTATTTTCGATATATTCAATGAAAGCATGGGCATAGCTTTCATATAATTCGATTTTTAGTAAAAGGCCGATTCGTGGGCACAGAAGTGTCCAATGAAAAGCCTTTGACGCCAAGCATATACTACTAGAAGAAGTCTAAACCCTCATCTCTCACAAAGCGGGTAAACAACCGCACATGCAGCAACGAAACTTGAGAGCTGATAAATTTCAATGGAAAAAACTATTGAGTGGATGCTTCTCTAACGTAAAGTTGACTTGGGTCCCTTAGGAAATTTACTGTAGTTTTTAATGGAAGGAATTCAAATTATTCGAAGACGCACCTGGTTTTTCATTGGCCAATTGAAAGCGGCCGTTTGGCCGCCTCTTGGTTGATAGTTGGCCGTCTGCCAACCGCCACCGTAACCATAGAACGCATTTGTATCATCAATCTAAATATCGACAAATACAAACAGTGATGGAAATCAATATTTTGTAACTGATTAAAGAAGATAAGGAGGAAAAAATGGAGATATCCTAGTCACTGAATAACCATCGTTGGAATTATTGCTAATTGACGAGCCTTCCTTGATGAGTGATTATGCTAATCCCTTTGTAGCTGTTATCAATAAGTAAATGGCATTCAAGCGAATACACCAAAAGTTGGTAGCAATTCAAAATAAAATTGCATCTGGTGATAGACGCTACATGTTCTGTTTATGTCGTGTCGAGGAGAGATGGGCTGCTGGTGGAAAGTAAACACTGAGCGAAGACGATTCCTGGAGAGATGCCATGCCAGCCACCAACCAGTCACCAGAAGCCAAATTTGGATGAGAGGTCAACAAGGTCTACGCTACAGTAACACGAGAGAACGGTAGTCTGGGCATTTTGATGGTAAATTTGCTCCCATATTAAACTACCAACTAGGCTCCCACAATAAATAATTTTCGGTCCAAAAAGGTCCCAGTATGGGAGTAAGATCCTGAACCATTTTTGTCGTCGAGGCAAAGAGGAACAGTAACAATTGGCGTTGTTACCATCCGCAAGTTTTCCGAATCCGAATATTTAACCGGGCCCCATCGCAGACAATGTAAGCCCATCCCGCCTAAACCAGATAACTACTTCAAAGCCCATGTGGGAGCACCCAAATGCCTGCCAAGACACTTTCCTGTCTCAGAGCTCAGTCTTCCCGATTCGCCGCAAATTGACCAAAAGTCCCATTTCTGATACTCATAATCTGAGGGGATTGTCTACTGAAGAAAAGGGTTTCTCTAATGGTGGTATATACCCATTGCCCCCACACAACCGTACCCATTCACCAAATTGAAACTAGAACTGAAGAAAAAACATGTGGGAGACCCGAGACCAATTTATACTCAGCCTGATAGATCGTCTCAGGAAGCTTTTCCAATGATACATGCATTAGAATTTGTGTGAAAAACTCAACCCAAACCTGTCCTGAAGTGTGCAGGAGCGATTGTGAGAATCCACTTTGAAGGCTACCAAGACCCAGTCCCGTCTGGAGTCCACCTATGGCGCTCATTGATGAGCCAAGTGTTGTACTGAGTCCTTTCGAGTCTACATAGTTTCGTTCCCGCTTTCGCCATTTCGCTCGGCGATTCTTGAACCAAACCTGAAGGGAGATGCGTAATGGCAAATGACATTCACTAAAGAAACACAAGAGAAGTAGCCGTGGTTCAGCACAAAACGATCATATTTTCTTCTAGTAAATAAACTATACGTTGCATTGTACATCATGACTGGAAAAAAATTGAGAAAATAGCCTTCTCCTACCAAGTACCCCAGATACAGTAACCCAGGAGAAAAACATCTGAGAAGAGGCGATCAAGATAGCAGTGGCACCAGCCGCCTGGCATGGTGAAACGGCACGTGGGACCAAAACGATGCTGATCCCCGGGGAGCGTGGTTGCCAATTACAGGCGTGAATAGAATGGGCTAATGGATAACGTGTAGCGGCTAATTAAAATTGCTCATCGAACACGCGTCTTGTCAAAACCCAACTGAATTGCGTCACCGCTGAACACAGCTAAAATGATTTTTTGAAACCAGCTACGTAAAAAAACTAGATAAAAGGCGAAACTAGTTATAAGAAATTATAAGTCCCTAAAAAAAATTAGTAGTCTGGTAAGAATGAAAATGGGAAATGTCATGAGAGTGACCCAGGCGGTGAGGTTCTAAAGTAAAAGAGGCCTCCATACGTCTCTTATTTGGAATTCCTGTTCCTCCTCGCTGCCTCAGAGAGCCTTCCAAAAGAAAGTTCACCCTTCCTCTTGAAGTTCTGCGTCGCTAATCTCAAAATAGACTAGCTGAAGAACGGCGGTCGATATTTGTATTCCCTTGTGATAATTGGAGGGTCTTAATAAATAGGATCCACAAATTTACAACCACAAATTTTTACAACTCTTCGGTCCCCTACTGCCATCAATGGCAAAAGCCTAATGTGAGAGATTGAACGGGGTCACAGATTACTTGAATCCAGACCCACTCAACATTACTCGTTTCAGCTTAGCATACAAGTAAAGCAACCCATGACCCCGTTCAGTCTTACCATCAGTCTCTAGTTTTGTTCAAATTCCCCTAGCGACAGTTCTAGGATGACCGCCTAACTCTCAGTATGTATCGTTCTGAGTATTTTTAATTAGAGGATCATCAGCCTGTTCATAAATCGAATATGCATGAGAGCTCAAAGCTTCAGCAAAAACGAAGACATCTCACGTACTCGAACTCTTGGCTCCGTGAGGCTTATCCAAATGGCGATTTCTTCTCGTGTGGCCATGTCAGGATAGCGATTCCGTGCGAACCAATTCTCAAGCTCGGTCAGCTGAAAGTTAGAGTTTACACAAGTGATACAGAACATTTTTGAAGAAGCCCTAGCGAAAAAACGCCGTAGTATACTTTTGAGAGAGATCATTCTCCAAGATGCTTTGATACAAGAATTGTCATAAACTTGCTTTACGTGATGAACCCGAAACTAATGAGCCGAAGAACGAATTTCACTACTGAATGGTAGCAGTGCTACCGTAGTACGACGGTTCATCGACGCTGGGCATTTGTCCGGTGGGCAAGCGCCAGAAAAGAAGAACAAGACGACGACCAAGACGGAGAACCCCACCTTGAGCAAATTCCCGAATATCTACCTTTTCAGGAAATCCTCTATCCAGAAGAATTGGTCCCCAGTTATTTCCAAAATTTCGTGCGATCGAAAAAAGAACCTACTTGAACAATAATGTATAGTAGTTACCTGATGGCTAGTGAAATGTGTCCTTTGACGACGAGGTTTGTGGGCTTTCGTCGAAGTGGTTGGTGAGATGGCATTACTGTTGTCATCCCTTTCATCCTCCATGTCTTCCGTTTTATCGACTTCAACTGAAACTAGACTTCAAGGATATAATGCTTGCAAGTTAGAAGTCACAGGCATTTTATACAAACCATTCAAAGCAAAAATTGACTGTAACTGGCAAAAACGACAGTAACTCACTTTTTGGCAGCTTGGTCGAAAAATTACCATCCGTAGCCGGTAGTGGGACGGAATAGCCGAATACATTAGAATCATAGTCCTCGGATCGGGTGTTGCCACCAAGTTCTGGTAACGACGTGTTGGCACCGAGTGCTGACAGACCAGCACCAATTCCACCGTCAAGCGCCGACACAGCCGCACACACCAAATGCGACGGAAAGCTGTGATCCATAAGCCCTTGGTGGCTTATGAGTGAACGGATTAATCGTTAGGAAATTGATCCCAGTGAGGATTTCGTGCTCGAGCACGGAGTGGCTTATTGCGGCTTACGTGAAGACGCGCCAGCCAAGACGTGGGCGGTGCGAAGCCGAGCAGGAGCACGGTAACCCGTGGGCGGGGCATCGTGTCGGCTGGCACTTGCCGGCTACCGTATCCGCCGTGGTCCCGATTACGACGCACGATGGCGAATGATGGAATGGGGAGATTAGGCGATGAATGGGAAAACAATCCACGTCCGGCTGTCTTTGATTTAAAGGAAGACGTTTGGCATGGGATACACTCAAGATGGATCGGTTATGCGGGTAATACTGAAGTAGATGGAACGATTTCAACTTGGAAGAGGTATTGGAAAGAAAGGTGCTCCAGTCACCGGGGAACTGCTTGAGACTTGAAAACTATGAAAGGTGGGATAATTATTAGCAGCTTGTTTCGTAAAAAACGCCAGGCTAATCATGCCTATAATATGGCCCATGTTAAAGACCCTCGGCTTATTTGATGTAAACCGCCAGAACTGGCTGTGTAAGTTACCCTTCAAACCACCCCAGAGTGTATAGCTTCGGAAGTGGTGATCAATTCTCCATATAACTGAGTGAGTCCGAGTTTTAGTTATCAACTAGGAGCTGAGGTCTTTCGATACCGTATAACCAACTTCTATTAATTTCGGTACAAATCTCGGACCTTATTTCTTCTACGCACCAACCTCTATGGACCTATTCGGTTGAAATTACAAGTACTATGCCGAGCGAGCGAAGTTTCTTCATTGAGTAATTGTGCCTACGAGCAATCTATTCATTTGTAAATGGAAGACATAGCGTTTGCGGCAGACAGCTGATCCTTTTCACGCCGCCCTTTGATTTTGGGAATTTTCCAGCCGACTGCATCGCATACGAATCATACCATATGCCATTCGTAAGAGATTACGCAACTGCCGTCCGATTTCCCGCATCGGCAACGGACGTCGTTGCGATTGTAACTCATTTAGAATGATGGTTTCAAGATAGCTTGCCAATAGTTTTCGAGGATGGCATGGGACCATGGAAAAAATGATACACGCTCTGAATGAAGGATAGAGGATCGCAGCCAAGTAGTTATTTTTGAAGGGTCATGCCTCCGAGTCTAAATATGCTCTGCTTTCCAATTCTACGACCTGGAGGCAAAAGCATGTCGGCAGGCGGGGCAACTAACCAACACAACCATCTAACACATGGCTAGGATTGCTTGCTGTAAGAGTCATGACACCGGACACCTACAGTGACCGGTCTATCACTTCTGTGTGAAACGCTCCTTATTCACAGTTCCCCACTTGACCACATAACCTCTGGGTCACATCAGCAAACTGAATACTACCATCGGTTAGACTCAAATCAGGACACGTCCCAGAACGAGTGAGTATTCCATGATTGTTGTTTAGTCCAATTCAGATTAGGGAGGATAAGGAGACTGCTGTCATTGAGGAGCTGTAGAAGCTCGGATGAGCGCATGATGTTCTGATGCATTCCCATACTTGCTGAGGACTCCTGCTGTACCCGTCAAGAAAGATAGCTTCTAGAAGGCGCCCACCCCGCTTCACGTCNTCCCCCCCCCCCCCCCCCCCCCCCATTCCTCTTTCCATGGCTATATTTAGTACTCAGTGTTTATATTCAGTGAAATTCAATCCTGTAAAGTTTGTGATCTTTGATTCTTCAGGAAATCACGTCTTGAGATTTATTAGTACCCATTTAATCCGAATGGAAAAAAAGACGCATAGGAGAGCAGGTACTGTATTCAGAGGTCCTGCGACCGTCAGCAGACTCTCCTAGGGCCACACTGGATACGAAAACCTGGTTGCGGCGGAATTTCAAAGGCATCGAGCAATTTTTCATTATTGAATTTATCTTATAAACTTATTATGCAAATAAACAAAAACAATTGTATTGTCAAAATAAATTATAGTTTGAATCTATGAACCATCTATTAGAAACAACAGAGAACAAGAAAACTTTCACAAAAGCAGATTACTTTTTTGTAAGCAACGACGACACGCTCAGTTTTGACACATGTGGCACATTTCGTATCGTTACAGAGTACCTTAAAAGAAAGCCGCTGTTTTATCAACAAAAGTTGTTATCAATGGAAAATGTAAACAAAAAATATGGAAAATCACCCGTTACTATGCTACCTCTATTATACTTAACACAACAAAAAGCTGTAAATTACGGAAAACGTGCAAGCAACATGGAACCACAGCCTTTTACTCTCACCTTGGAATATAAGAAATTTGCCTGAAACCCAGTAATCAAGCCTAAAAAACATCGAATGAGTCTCAGGGGCTATCGAGAGATTTCAAGAACCCTTAACAATTAGAATAGCTCAAATACGGTAACCAGCACCGGGATGAGAGAAAAAGATGAATGGCAAGGGACACTGGAACTCGAAGAAGGCGCTTCAGCTCCATTCGGAATTCTTCGGCACCCATTGGATATGACGAAGCCTGTTTCCCTTAGAAGTTCCAGGAAATCTTAAGAATAGAAGATTACCTCGTTCCCCTAGTCAGTGTCTCTCCCTGATGTTCCTCACCATTGAACACCTTCTCATCAATGAAATCCTCCTTGACTTCTTTGATGCCGTGCAACATATTTACATAGGCCTCATCCGTCATCAGAAACAGACTTCTCGGTTCCAGCAACATCGATCCCACATAGCGCTCCTCTTCACTTTCAACTACCTGAAAACAGAGGCGGAAAGTGACTCAGCCCTTTAAAACGAACCACTTATTCGACATCTACTCAGAATTGTAGAGCCTTTTATACTCTCAACCGTTCTGGCTGTGAGGACAACTCCAAATCTAAGATGTCCACCTGTGAAAGGAGTGAGCGTATGAGTAAGGCGGTTGGCACCTAATAGACGGAGCGCAACCCAAGCTTTCATCTACTGGTTGAACCTCCTCTACAGAATCTCACCTCGAACGATTATCGAATGATCACAGTTCGATGATCGTTTACAGAAGGGTTGAGCAGGGTCAGTTTAGTGAAATGGACCAAGGTATTAACCGCTGCCATATTTAGAGAACTTCTTTAGAAACGTCCACTTAGGAAAACATCACTTTCGTTCACTATCCTAATCCTCTGAACGAAGGTCATCTATCAAAATTCGTAAGAATATGGTCTTTGTCATAGCGCCACCGCCAGCGCTCCTTCCTCATAGATCGCGGAACTGTGATAACATTAATCCCGGAGCTGAACCCCAATGACTGGCGTACTTATTAGCATTTCACCCATTCTACTGGACAAAAGCCAGGAATCACCGATGAAAGGTAAAGCCCTTAATCAATCCCATTTTAAGATGCGCCCTGCACATGACCTCCGTTCAGCATCGCAATGGTGAATGCGTATTTGGCCCATAACACCTCGCGGTGGCTAACCAAAATATAGTTTTGCACTTTTATAAACCCAGATAAGGCTACCCATTGGTGCCCATTGACCGACCCTGGAGGGAGAAAGCTTGGTCGCCCTGGGCAAGTACCAATACCTGATTAAAGGCACAGTTAACGAAAATTTCGAGGCACCCCTTTTTAGTCGAAAAGCGAAGTATAGGTTGGGAATAGTTCATTGGTAGTGAAGAAAGCGAGGAAGTACGCTGATTTTCACAGAAGTAGGGTAAATCGAGGTTGGACGAGATTACCAGACGGAAATAACATGGAAGGGGTATTCGGACGAGATTTCGGTTGTTGCAATTGTGCAAAGAGCTGACTACATCAACCCAGAGCTGTAAAGGACTGCCTCTCTCTGCCGCTATGTGTCATGACAAGTTGTTAGACTTCCTACATGGGTTCCCTTGTGATCTGTGCAGCCTCTACAATGCCGGTGATAACTTGTCCGAGGATATACAAGAGACAATTTTTGAGCCTTAAAAACGCCTTGGGTAGGCCGTTTTCCGACCCTCAAATTCATCCTGTCACAGGAACCTTTATCGTGGGCTGTGCCTTTAAATTCTCGAACCAATGGGGTTACGTAATCGGAATAGGAAACAATTGGAACGATTAAACGATCTTAATAATTACATATGAAAATATTATATTTATAGATAGGCTTTGATTCGGGCAGAGATCAATTCTGACCACCTAGACAGATCATAGGTCCACCTTAGATACGACAACTATGGAATTAGCCGAATCGAACTAAAAATCACTTCCGATAGAGAAAATCAACTAACAAGAGACCAACTTTTAGACATGCCAACTTATACGTCCGCAAAAGGTGCCATAAAAGGCATGTCACGTTTGCTTAGTCGATCCTTTCACAGCGCCGATTGTCAAAGAACGACTTTCTGTCCGCCTGCTAACGCAAACATCAAATCTGCCACTCACTGCCTGTTTTCCACAACACAACTTTCTTTAAAGTCAGTCTTTTGCACAGTGTAATGGAACTTATATCGCTTGTACCAAGTCAGGACTCACAAACTGCATTTTTTCTCGGAATTTATTGGAGACAGGGATTTACGACAGCCGTTCCGCAAGTGCGCACTCAATTGTCGTGTAGTTCGGATAGTAAAGTAGTCCAAGTGCAGTTGAAGTCCCCTGTTTACAGGCATTCCTTTCGTCAATATTAATTCGTTTCCGTATTTGTCTTTCTCACTGTTTTCCTCTACACTTGCCTGCCTTTTATAGGTGATGTTCTAATAAAAACTTCACAGTAGCACGATTTCCTTTACCTAGTCCCTGGTCGAGACCGATCGTGTAATGAAAACTCTTTTTTCCAGCCTTTAGGGCGATTTCTAGAGCTCCGCCCCTTCTTGTTCACATTACGCCCAACCACAAGGAACATCCTCCCAGGATTTTCGTTCACTTTTCTGCGAGATAGCTAGACAAACAAATGAGAGCATGGCAAACACCCTATTACATTGTCGTGACATACATGCCAACCAACCTCTCGCTCAATTAATACGAGTTATCATGAACATAAATTCCTAAATTAAAGGTGATTCATATAAGTATTCCGAATGACGATCAACTACAATAGAACTGCTTCGACGAGTAGACCGTGGACATTCTTCAAATTACTTTTCAAATGGAAAGGGAGCATATGGAAAGCCGTTTATTTGGAACTAATATGTTTCTTGATTCTTTACGGTATCATCTCCGCCGTGTATCGCTCGGCTCTCAATGAATCACAACAAAAGTGAGTTCTTTTTAGCCCGATGCTAGACCTAAGCTAGCTGAGTTGGACAAGATCCGTCGCGTGCGGTTGCGCTGCGACAGCAACTG